GGTGGGGTATGGATCTGTGGAGCGCGCGAATGACGAAGACAATAGCAAACCTCGATGCTGAGAGAAGTGAACGTTTGGACTATCGATGGCACGCAGGGTCATAAAGGAACGCGAAACTGCAGCGAAGTGAGAGCGAGTTCGATAGGTGGCGGCCGGGCAGCCCGCTCTCCTGCATCGTGTTCGGTCTTTGGAATGCCGACGCCGCCGACGCCGACACAACAAGAACAAAACGATTCGATTCTTCGCGAAGGCCGAGTAGACTTTCGGTGGGAGCGAATTCCCGCGTCGAGCGATGGCTTCGAGACACCCACGGTCGACCAATCGGTTGGTTATCAATTTTCAGTTTTGAAGTTACTTAGATTTACCTGAACTTGCTTATCTGCTAATTTTTTAATTTCCAAGCATCGAAATCAAATCTGAAATTCACTGTATCAAAGAGGAAAGAATTTCCGTACTTTGAAAAAGTTCATAAGCTATCCAAGAAGAAACAACGATCGAACAAAAGTATGAGAATCTTTGGGGCAGCGTGTAGCCCTGCGGTAGGTTGAATTTTCATAATAAATTAGATCGCGTGGTACTCAGGACTTGCGTGATCGACTGTGTGTCTCTTGGAAAACTTTGCTCGGCTTAATTTCACCTGCAGTCTAGTTGCTTACTAGTTCAGTTATCTGGTACTCGGTCACATGGTGCTCGGTGTCTATACCACTTAGCGTCAATTACAGTTAGAAATCCGTCAAGACGCCCGACTGTCAAGACTCGAGTTATGCTGTTTACCGTGTTATGGCAAGATCCTGTTACCTGCGTACAGGATGACCCAAGAGTCCTACCTGATCATTAGAAAGCTGAATTGCTAACAAATTTCTTAATGGACGCTTTTTGAACCGGTAGAATTCGTGAATGTGTTATTTCAAATAATTTTAAATTCAATAAAAACGTCAATAAACACTAATAAACGTTACTTCCTCGAGAGTTCATCATTTTCTATGTATTCGTTTCCAAGCTTGAAATGAATCCTAAATAATGGATCCAATAAACGAAACAAACGAAATAAACTAAATAAACGAAAACGCAAGTGCTAAAATAATTCCGGTTTATAACCGACTGAATACACACATCTGATCCTGTGTGTCTTTGTTCTTAATTATTCAAGGAAGCGTACCGATTGCCGATGTTGCTCTTTCGGCTCAGCTTGCTTTCACTGCTCCGTCGTCGCGAAGTACTCCAATATTATGGCACGTCGACGTACGTTGGCAAAGTGCTCGGTAACTCCAAAATCCCTGTCGCCGTTATTCCTCGAAAAGGAAGTGCCTGCGAGCGCAAACAATTAACGTGGGAGGTATTAGGTTACCCTGTGAGGCCATGTCACTTACTCTTCTGCTATTAAATTATTGTTATTCTACATGCAGGAGACTTCAGTGGGTTGATTCAGAACATTTCAAATTTTTTAAATACCCAAATTGTAGTCCGTGTGAGAGATGCTGAGGTCTAGTTCCAAGCAGTGATGATCGCGCGCCTCTTAGACAAGATTCCCTGTGTCTACGTCGAAACAAATAGGGCAAAGGGCGTATTAAAAGCCTGAAAGGACAAGGCTAACCTAATCATTCGCGTCAGGTACTTTCGTAGAAAGATACTTGGAGACAAGCGACCAAGAAAAAAGGAATAAACCCGAGCAGCGATTCTATGCCCTTGTTACACGCAGCGTAGTAAATACTCGTAGCCGTGGCATTCCACGACTGGTTACTACTACTACCGCTCCCTCCTCGCCTCTATTATCTCTTTCATTTCCCTCCCAGCATCCCTTTACAGGCCTGTGCTTGGCCATTTTGGCACCCAAAGATAAAAACATTATTTTTTAGTTCGCACTGTCAACCAGCTTTCGTGCGAAGCTAGGGTCCACGTTTCGTCACTTGAAAGAAAACTCCAGCAGTTCGCGAACTTCGAAATCGCTCGATTTTCCTCGTGGACGACTTCTAGTATGGCTCGAAGCAGCGATTCGGTGTCGAAAGCAAAGGATACGAAGTCGGTTACACGTGAAAATGAGTTCGGCAGGTAGGGTCACGTGCTCAGACCACGCTTCACGGCTGTGAACTTTCCTTTCTTTTGATCGCCAGCTGCGCGGCATTATGCCCTCTAGTCTTTTACTCTCATCGATCGGCTGTGTCGTCAGCCCATTCAGCCACGGTCACAGCTGTCGTATCCTGATTTTTCCAGCTCGAGGAGCGCTCTGGAAAATGGGCGAGTTGCTCGAGAGCTCCTCGATGTGACTCTAAATGGAAAAAAAAAAAAAAATTATTGGAAGATTGATGGGTGTCACGAGCACGTCTCAATTTTTATTCTCATTTATTTTCCTTATATTCTCGAAGAGACGATGTTTGGTGACGCCTTCTTCTATGTTAAGACTCCTTGAGAAATTTCAGACACCAACGAATCACGTTGGATCAGTCGCAATCAGTTCAAGACGAGTATCGGACGTTCTCCATTGCTCGCTTCCAATTCCCCGCGCAGGAAGCGTTTCCCGTCAAGAAATTGCCCGCTTAACGACTCCAAGGAACACACTTCAGATTACGCTTACTTTATTGTCTCAGATTGTAATGGCAATTGCGCCAAACAATGACAGGATTAACTGTAATCTACGGCTTCCCTGAGACCAGGATCGGAGTAACACGTCTTCGAAGACGTTAACACCGCGACTTCCAAGCTACTTGTCTACATTTTGAAAATTTTATTAAAATTACTCCGCCAAGCCTTCGAAGTTCCAAGTCCAGTTAGGCTCGAGGAAATTGCACCGAAGAAAATCTGGGGTGAAAAGGGTTCCCAACGCTTTCGTCGTAATTTTCGGCGACGACTACTGAACTAGAAAATTAATTTTAAATTAATTCGACGCTCTTCTATAATGTTTCATATGTACAGTAGGTGTTCGGTGAACGTTCTCGTGATTTTTCGGAACAGGTTATTTAAAAAGATCGCCGGTCAGTCGGCTGTGTTCAGCTTCTCTCCCAGTCATAAATCGCTCCGTGAGGTCGTTTAAGAAACTGAGCTTCGACCTTGGCCCACCTCGAGTTTGCAGAATGATATTAGCAAGATTTCGGCACGTGCGTTGGAACTCTGGCCGAGCTGACTGTATCCGATCAGCCTCGACGTTTGTCTTGGTAGCCTTCCGGTCTCCTGATCGTCGTAACACCCAGCCACGAGGTCTGCTTCCTTTTGTTCCATCGAGTAACAGGCACGAGCTCGTTCATTCGATTATATTTTATTATTATATTGTCATTTGTCAACAGTTAGACGTACACCGCCTCTCAAAAGCTCAGCCATACGCTTGGGGGTATCAGGAATGTTCGTAAATAACGAAATGAGAAAATAATTTTATCTGAACGTTAAATTTTTATCCAGTGCACGAGTGGAATTCAGATTTACAATTAACCGCTTCTCTAAAAAATTTTCGGTGCAGTTTTAAAGTGTATTTTAAAGAGAGTCGTATAATTGTTAATATTGAAAAATGAAACAATGTATCGAATCATCTAGAAATTTCTCCGTTTCTCGTTGGTCTAAGTTGCACGGGTTGCGTCGTGTTCCAATCGCGTTCTTAGACGCTCCCCCCCCCCCTCCCCCCCCGCCCGAGGTTTTAATTGCGCGGTTAGGGGAGTCGCGAAGAAAACAGAGCGCGCAGAAGGCGGTCCTTTCGTTTAAGCCCTTTGTGGAGACGGCAGATGCCGAGTGTTCGCGATTTTGCTCCAAGAAGCAGCCTTACGTGCACGCAAACGCAATAATAAGAACTGCCGGACTCGCATCCGGTCTGGCGATATTATTGTCGGTGGCCCGGGACACCCTTTCTCTCCTGCACGTCTTTGTCGCGTTAAGACTCCGCTTGGCGCTCTGTGGTTTCCTTATTCCCTTTCTTGCGACGTCCACCTTGTTCCTGTCGCCCGCCTTCAACTCCCACCTTCAACTCCCACCCTTCCCACGGGAGCGTCTTTTCCTTTTACCTCTCCTCGATTAGTTTTTGGAGATTTTCGTCCCCTTTTCCTCGCACCCTCTCCTTCATTCGTCTCTTTGAAGGAGCCTCCTCGTCCTTGATCTTCTTCGGCGTCTGCTCTCTCGACGTCTCGTCGGAATAGTGACAACCCTTGCGAGGGATACCTCCAGGTTTATTGTTCAAAAGTCTTTGGTACGTCTGATGATTTTCTTTAGAAACATGTGATTCGAAGTTACACCATCTCCGCTTTCCTTCGTCGAAATTTCTGTCCTAGGTCACGTATCATCCAGCTTCCAAACGTCTTGATTTTACGTCATTCTTCATCTCTTCCTCTCGATTCGTCCTCCCTCGAGACATCATTTTCCATTTCCCTCCCTTTATTGAATTCCATCCGGGACGACGCTTGCATTTTCCTCTATATTTTCTCTCTTGTTGTCCTCTCCGCGCATTTCCTGCAATTTCTTTTCCTGCGTCGCTTCCATCTATCTTGTTACGTTTGACAAGTTTTTCTTGCCTGGCATCCTCAGCGAAATCCTTCGCGTTTCCTTCCTGGTGGAATATTTCTCCACGCCGCAAAAGAATTCTTCGATTCCTTCCTTGCGGAGTCCCCTGCTGTTTTTTCCGTATTTTGCGATTTCCTTTCATCCCGTCGCCTTTTTTGTTCGAGAAATATTCCTTGCCTTTGTGCACGGTACGAGAGATCTCTTACGTTGCACGCGATGCCCCCTCTTCGCGCGTTGTTTCTTCCCTTTGCTTTGCCCGCGTGCATGCTTATGTTTCCCTTCGTGTGGCGAACCGCATGATTTTATTGGGAACGGTACTTTGTAGTAGAAAAATAGGTTCAAGTGGACTCGTACCAGGAAAGCTTCGAGCAAAAGGCCCAAGGTGTTAAGAGAACCACATATCTTAGGCGTTAGAGGAGAAAGAAACTAAAATTAAACCTGACACGGGACACTTTCGAACTCAAACGATCAACATTTAACGTCCAATTATTTTTATTTATTTTTGCGTTGTACAGTCGTAATAATACGTTTTCGTTACATCAAGATTACATAGAAACAGAAAAAAACATGCACAGGTTCATGCCAGCCTACTTTATTATATACTAATGTAGAAGATTCTTTTCCAAGTTGCAAGCTCTTCCAAGTAGCCCAGGAGTTAAGTTAAAAAAAAAAAAAATAATAATTTAAAAAAGGCCGCGTTGGAGCAGCAATGTACGACAGCGAGCTGAAGCTTTAAAAATTATGTTTGTTCGGTTTACATAGCGCGCGCAGCGTCGTTGGCGTCCTTTCGCTCGCGTTTGGACTTGATGACTTCCTTGACAAGCATCTGCTCGTCGGTTTTCTTCCCATGCCTCATTATGTGCCCCTGAACGACGGCTGGCGATGCCATCTTCAGATCGTAGGCCAATCCGAGATACGCGAGGAGTTCGAGGGTCTTGGCGGAAATACTGAACTTCTCAGCCATTCGATAGTCCCACGGAAAGGCGTGATGGAAATTGTGCCAGCCGTCGCCCAACGTCAAAAACGAGGCTACCCACGACTCTGACGGTTTGATTCGCCTGAAACGCGAGCATAAACGAGTTCAGTCTATTCTTCCCACGTAAGAGATGTTGTTGGGAGGTGTATTTACTTGTCATACGGCTTGGAGCCCCAAAGATGCGCGAAGGAGTTGATCGACCAGGTGATGTGGAGGTTGGTGACGTATTGGAGGAAGTACGGCACGAAGAAGGAACACCAGAAGGTCTCGTTCCAGAAGTACATTGGCACTGCGACTGGGAACAACACGCCCACGAGGAAATAGAGCGGCAGGAAATGCCTGAAATTCGGGAGAGCAGTTAGAGTTCGAGTTTTTGCGAGACTTAAGTAGAGAATTCCATGTGCGATCCTCCTATTCTCTGGACTTCTACATCTAAAATCTAAAGTCACAAAAAAGATGTAATGTCAGATGAAAAGACTGCTCCCATTCACCCTATGGAATTTCAAACTTTTTACGTGTTGATTGATTTGCGTTCACCTGTACTGGAACATGACGAGTTTGTCAGCGCGCAAGTCGGAAACGTCGATCTCGCGTTGTTTCTTCAACACCAACGGGTGTTTCTTCATCATCAACCACCCCATGTGGCTGAAGAAGAATCCTCTGTTGGAATTGTGGGGATCCGCGTCGGTGTCGCTGTATTTGTGGTGAAGAAGATGGTCCCTTGTCCACGTGAACATGCTGTTCTGAAATCAGATAGAGCAACATTTTTACAAATTTTAAGGATGTACGTAACTTGTACTAGTAAAATGGAAATAGTAGAGAGAAATGAAGAAAACTCTAGAAAAATTCTGTAACTAGAAAAATTACCTGGCCAGCCATGGTTTGGAAGATGATGAGAGCGACTCTGAGAGGAGGCGTCGCTTTGAAGCTCTTGTGGGTCGATCCACGATGCGCGCCAAGTCCTATCCCTTGGATAGCCAGGAAACCAACGAAGACTCCTGTAAGAAATTCGAAATTGTGCTCTGAAAATGTGGTGGTTTACAAAAATCGTGGCGGTGGATTATTTCATTGAAACTTCGTAAATATCTTTCCTTCAATCGCGAAGTTTCACTTACCCCATGCGATGGTGATCGCTTTAGCGTGGAAAAATGCAGTGTAAATACCGATCAGCCATCCTATTTGAAGAGTAGCGTGCACAACCACGCGCATCCACAAATACCTATGCTTGTAATTCATGTCGGTGCCATATTTCTCTATGTGCACGTCTTCGTCTTCGTACGAGACATCCTTGCTCTCGTGACTAACTTCGGTCTCCATGTCTGTGGAACGCAGCTGTTATATTTTTCAAAGAAAAAAAAAAAAGTCGAATAAAAATTGTAAATTTACTTTGCACAGATTTGTTCCTGTTAAATAGTTGTTGCACTGTTTAATTATTAATCGATATACAAACACGGTTACCGTCCACCAAATAAATAAATAACGATACCTATCGATTGGTCGAACGACAGAGCACCGTACCGTTCCTCGAACTCGCAGATTTCCCGAATTTCCTCCATTTTATACAACGTTCGAGGCTCATAAATTGTATTACCGATTCATCGTTGGAAATCACCCTGACCCGCAATTAATTTAACGACGTTAGTCGTCGATATCCGCGATCGTATTCTCCTTGGTCGTTTTACGTATCGCGGAAAAACATCCGGCGAGATTTCGCTTCCAATAGCTCGAAAATTTGCATCCAATTCGTAACATAAAAATTGATCGTTGTTGCTAAATTTAATGGATCGTTTCGTCAGGGTTCGTTGAACGTTGGATTTTCCTTTCAATACGTGACAAAGAAACGTGATATGATCAAGGAAAATGTACTAGACTCTTAGTATTTTATTTATATAAGAATAATACAATAAAATAAAATAGATTGTAAAGTTCTGAAAAGGTTAAATTCCAGCACATCGAGCAGCGTTATTTTCCAGAAAGAGGCAAAGACGCCTGTTCTCGGATCGGAAGCTTTACGATCCTAGGAGCATCTGTCCGTTGGCCACCTGTCGGCAGGTGCGAAACGTACGAGCGGAGCCCGTTACCTTCGAAGTCGGTATCAATTGGCCCTTTTGTTTTCACTGGTTCTTTCCACGGGACCCCGGTTCCCGTTTTACTACGGCGTAGTACGTACGCGCGACACGCGATAGTCGGCTCTCCGGATGTTATCGACTCGAGCCAGACCATGGTGGTCCCCTCCACCCTTTCGAGTAAAACCCTTTAAGCCCGCGCCACGTAAACAGGAAGTGCCGTCCCCGCCATCTTTGCATCCTCCGACGCAGGTTACAAATAATGCTTAGAAAACACCTGCGTCTGGCACGTATCATTATCCTCGATTCTTTTTAAACGTGTAGTCTGCTTTCACTTCGTCTCCCGTTTCTTGGATTTTAAAGGAGCTCTTTTTCTATATTTTTTTTTCTTTTTTGTCATCCTGCTCGATCGAAACGCTTCCATCTTAGTCACGAGCCCTTTTACGCCCAGGATCGCTTGACCGATGGGGATGTTTGAGAATTTTGCTTATCATTCCTTACTTAGTACACTCATATTTTTGAAATATTACAACTTCGATAGAAAGGTACAATTTATTTTTCTCCTATATAAATTACTTTAAATGGCGAGATTAATGTTACGGCGTCCAGATGGGATAACATTTTTCTCTCCTGCGTTTTCCAGTTACCAATTCGCAGTCGCTCGTAAACCGCTCTCCCACCGTTGATCATTTCTTCCGCGATAATTAGATGTCAGGGGGAGACTAAACAGCGTGCGAAACGAGACGAGGAGCGTGGATCGAGAACAATGCGAAATTATTAATAACCTACGGCAGAAAAAGAGCGTCGTGATGGATCGTTTACTAAGACAATATTTTGTTCTTCTTGCAGGCCGCGATACTTCAGCAGACGGCGGAGTACATATACCAGCTGGAGCAGGAGAAGACCCAGCTGTTGTCACAGAACTGTCAGTTGAAGAGATTGGTGAACCAGCACGAGGGTGGCGATGTTCCCATCAAGAAACGCAAGCCAGACAACCAAGGTAAGACTTGGAATAATTATCAAAATGAAAATATTTGTATAAATTTGTCGACGTACGATAATGTTGGATACTCGAACATCGAATTTGGTAGTCAAGGGTAATCATTAAGGGTTGATTAAAAGCAGACGTTTAACGAAGTCTCGTATAAAAGTATACCTTAATCACTCGATTAACTCGTGGATTTGTCAAAATATTTCTATTCAAAACTAGAGATGATTGAATCTAAAATCACAGAATTAATTTTCACCCTCTAGTACTGTATAAAAATAAAAAAAAATAAAAATGTTAAGAGTGGTGCCAAGCTTTTCAAGCTTATAACACTTCCATGATAGCATGTTAATACACTTTTTCATTCGCGAAAAAAAGCAATTCGCGGATCAGCGGGATGAACCAACCCCCAGGCCCTAATTTACCCCCGGCGATAGGAATAACTTACTTTACGCCAGTGACTCGTCTCGTCGCGGTGACTCGTCGGGGAATTTTTTAATTTGTCGACCGAAAGCAGCGCGAAGAATTAATATAGCGGAGTCGTTCGTCATTTTCGCCAGAGTAATTACATTCCTGGTGGTCGGCCCTCCCGCGCCGGATATTCCGTTCCGTTCGCGGTAGGGAAAAAAGTCGCAATCCGATCGATAGGATCGAAACTTCGTTTACTCTCCTTTAGCTCGCGGTGCCATTAAAATTTCAGGCTACCCAGTCACCCGGAAAGGGGATAGCTCCTTGCTTTAAAAATCATTACACTGGGCGTTCCCTTTGAAGTGTTGCAGACTCCTTTCTTCATAAGTATCAGGGGGGTGGCAAAGTGATTTTTACTTCCAACGTTATTTGTCGAGCAAACACATCATTAGGAAAGCTATTTGTACTTTGCTACCGTGTGAGCTTTACAAATGAAACGAACAGAATTTTTGTGTACATGAAAAACTCACGGTAAAATCACAGAATTTTTATTTCTAGTATATAAAACTAAAAGAAAGTATTTCAAAGTAGTACCAAGGTTTTGAATATTTTTAAGTGACATCAAAGCAAAAAAGAGGCTATTCTTTGAGATTGATCAAGATTTGATAATCTCTACGAAAGTATTAATTAAATTTATATAGGGAATAATGTCCAGACTAGCATTAAACGTTGGACAAAAATTTCTTTGTTCCAGCAGGTGTTGTCGTTAGTCTACCAATGCACGTCAGCGAGAGCGGTGACGAGGGATTGGGGAGCATGTCCCCGGAACCCTTGTCGGTGATAACAGTGACCACAGAGGGACACTCCGTGGTCAACAGCGAGGTGGTGGAGCTCAGACGGCAGTTGGAAAGGGAGCGTCACACGAGGCTACATCTGGAAAAGCAGATGAGAGCTATACAAAGTCAACTGTACCCGGAAAGATTCAGGGACAATCAGCTGATCACTTATCAGCCGCACGAGGTATGTACAGCTTCGCTCTACGTTACTTAAAAATCATTTGTACATCGCATTGATCGCCAGATTAATAAACGATTAGAAACATCGAATAGCGTGCACTATATTCGATCTTCTTATTTTTAAATAAAAGACAACTTTATCTGGATTTATTTTCTTTGACACCTTCGTTTAACGAGTGACCTGGCAGTCAATGTGATAATAGCTTAACCCATTTAACTGTCGTATCAACCGCACAAGCCTGACACCTAGAATCCCATGGACTCGCGTCATCCACAGATAGCTGTCAGAGTTCATCTCTAGAGCAAACCGTTTCCGCCTAACCGCGAGTGTTCTGCGAATTCTGACGAGTCGTTTAATACGTTGACTGCCAGATCAGTAATCGTCAAAATTCCTTGTTTCTCTTTAAAATTCACGAATCCTCGTGATCTGTTTTCTAAAAAAAAAAACCACATCCACGAACTCTGGATGATACCAAGTAGAATGAGTTCCCTTTAAATTTGACATGGAATTCAGTTTGTTCGCCGAGTTAATCATGCTCTGAAATTTTGTCGTTGCAGGTGATCGAGCACACGGACAACGTGATCGCTCAGGAGACGGAGGAAGCGGTCGCAGCGCTTCAGGTAGTGTCTGTGGTGTCCCTGCCACCGGTGGGTTCGACGCAAACAGTGGAAACGTCTAGTCCTGAACCAAGTTCGCCGCCCCTGTCGCCGCAGCCCACCGACATGGTGGCAGTGGACATCAAGGAGGAAGAAATGTGCCCAGGAAGCCCGAAGATCGTCGCGTTCAGCCAGAATCCAACGTTTGCCACCATCGAAGAGCCCACCACTGCTGACTCTTTCTCCTCCTCGAGTCGCGTCACGTACGCCTCGAGTACAGGAGACTTCAAGAACTCGTCGCCACAGTACATCACAGCCAGCCCTAGCAGGCCGTTCTCGCCTGTAGCAGAGCCCCAGCGGTTGCCCAGTGTTCTGGAGGCGGCGATAAAGGCGGAACCTAAGGTCGAAGTCGAGAGGTAAGCTTGTCAACCCATTATTCAAAGTGTTAGAGTTTCCGTGTATCAGTTAATCCGTCATATTCACCAACAAACTCTTCATCTTTTCTAAAAGGAATCAAATTAACGAAAGACCACTCTAATTGCAGGTTGCCATCTCCATCGAACACTCTAGACGACGGTACGCCTCAGGGTAGGTTGTACCTGGCGAATACCTCGCGGCAGAACTTGGAGACCATCGTCGAGGCGATACGTCACCTCGAAGGGGACCATCTGTTCAGCGACGAGCCAGCGCAGGACGTGCCCTTGGCGTTGACTAACAAACAAACGGGGAACCCAGCGGTGAAGTCCTCGACGTCGACGACCAGCCCTACAACGGCGAAGCAGCGGTTACTGCAGGCCGAGTTGTTCCAGTTCCACAGACAACAGCAGACCCAGCAGCGACCAGGCGTGATCGTGGTGAAGCACTCGTGATCGAAAGGCGCGCCGCGATCAATAAACTGAACGCGCTAAACTGCTGGCCTCTTGGGAACGAACTGGCGTCCGAGCCGCGATCGTCTCGGAACACGACGTATCATCTGAGTGTTCGTTGTTTTAAAGAGTTGAGACGATCCTTGGACAGTTCGACCCTTGGACGCTCGAGCCGCGGAAGCTCCGTTCCCCTCGATAATCGACGCTCGAGAAGGCCTCCTTGAGTTTGCCGTTGATCACCGACCTAACGGACGTCCGACGAGTCTGGGTCCGGTGTTTTCGTATGTTCCTACTGCCCGTCGTCTGCCTTCGTTTCGACCATCATCGATCCCCACTAGCGTTGGGCAGCCATCGCGATTCATTCGCGACTCCTTTT